GTCCCCTGACTACCTTACCCTCAGATAGGAGAACGCTGACCTGCTCCTGATGGGGAAACCTTATCCCATCTCCTCCCTGCCGTTCCTGTTTCCCCACCCTTTTTAGGTATATGCCCTACTACCATCTCTCTCTCTTTAGTGACCTAGTAACTACTGGCCCATTTATGCCGTATCCTTTTTTTTCTTTCTTTCTTTCTTTCTTTTTTTTTCTTTCCTTTTCCGTCACTTAACCCCTTACCTACACAACCTACTCACATTCACTTGCCTAACACTGTTTTTTTTTTCTTCTCTTGTTCGGGTTTGTTTTGTTGTGCACACTAAAGTTTTAAAAACGACATCTCTTATGCATGCTATTGACAGGGATAGAAGTCCCCCCCCTCCCCCACACACCTCCCTCGGATCCACAGATGCGCTCATAAGCACTTGGACACTTATATGTCCCCCTCTTGAGATACTTACGGGTCACTGACTAGCTGAGCAGGGGGAACACCCTCCCCTTATTGTTCTCAACGCTTTAAATATCTTATTTTGTTTACTTTGTCATATACATCGCAATGCATTTGGTGTATTTTCTCTATGACCGCCCGAGAGAGCAACTATTTGTTTTTCTCTTCTTGTGATCACCGTCAAAGCTTTTAAAATATAAAATAAAGAATTTATTTTAAAAAAAAAAAAATCCGGCGGGCGCATAATGACTTGCCGTCCGGCTTCCTGATTGGCCAGCTTCCCGACCAATCAGGAAGCTAGGCCGAGTTACGATGAAGCATGGAGACGGCTTCCCGGCCAATCAAGCAACCGGGCCCGGCTTCCTGATCCCGGAAGCTCAGGTATTGGGCTAGGCATCAGAGTATTTGGGCGAGTACTCTCAGCATCGGCACCGATACTATTATCAGTATCGTTGCATCCCTACTAGTAGGGTTGCCACCTGTCCAGGATTCACCCGGACAGTCATGGTTTTTAATGTTGTGTCCTGGTTTCATGGCAGCTGAAACCCGGACACATGTTGTCAGGCAAACAAGGGCAACCAAAATTAAGATAGGGGCTATTGGGCCCCCAACTTAAAATAGTCTTGACTGTGATATTTACACATAAACGGGTGACGCTATTTACATATGAAAAAGCCACGACTCATATTCCCCAAAAAATGTATGTGCGCCGCTAGAGTGTTCGAGTTTCGCAGGAAGAAAAGGTGGCAACCCTACCTACTAGAGAGTTTCATTTTTCGCCAGATGATGAAACCAAAGGACTCTTGAGATCACTGATCAGATAAGAAATGTTAAAAAAAGAAATAAAAATACCAAAAATAGAAAAAAAGTGTTTTATTCTGTTGTTATTTAAGGTGTTTAACAAAACAGAAAACGTCATGGATTTAGCAATTTAAAACAGTTAGGGACATGCTAAAGCTAATATAGTGATTAGGGTTACATATACTTTAATAATAATAATACTGCCTCCAGAGTTAACATGTTCTCAAGACGAGACCACGTGATCACAGGTAACACGTTCTCGCGGCCTAGAATGTAATTTAGTGCGCATGCTTGGACAGTTTCACTTCGCAAAAAGAACAGATAACTTTCCGATTCTTCCCGCCCAGTCATATCTCTTGGGGCGTGAGGCTCGTCGAGTGACGTCACTGGCCGAATGCTCTGTAGCCACGCCTATCCAGGCGTCAAGCCGCGGTGCCGAGAAGAAAATGTCAGGCCGCTCAGTAAGAGCAGAGACCCGAAGCCGGGCCAAAGATGACATCAAAAAAGTGATGGCGGCCATCGAGAAGGTCCGCAGATGGTGAGCGTTGGTTAGGACTCAGGAAAAGAGGCTTCCGCTAGCTTACTGGAAAGGGCAAGACTCCCTCATGTAAATTGGGACTCCCGAGCCGGCAAATAACTTACCGAGAGGGAGATGCTGATTGGACGAGCAGCTGAGTGATGTGTCAGACAGCCTGTCGCCCGGCGCCTGTACGCGGCTGAGCTGTCACTGTCTCATTTCAATAGGACAAGGGCGTGGCTAGAGTCAGTGGTGTGGTTGGTGGAACGGAGCAGCAAAAGGGACTCGCTGATTGGATGAAGAAAGCCTCGAGAGATCGCTAAGCCTGTGAAAGGAGTCTAGTATGGGGTTGCCATGGGGATGGGCAAGGGATGCAGCTAGAAGAGAAAGTTGGCTGAGATTGTTGGGATATTTACTGGTGACATCATGAGCTGTGTTATTTGTGCTACGTCATCACTTTGCTAGTTGGATTTCAGGATTTTGATTGGGATTAGTGTTGCCCTGTGTGTGCTGGTCATGTATAGATCTCACATGTTCCAAGTTGAAAGTTTTGATTTATAATATGTAAAAATTAGACAAGCCATCATTCTTTATAAAGGGAACATACAGGTTTCCTAAAGTGGTACTCTAGATAATTTTTTTTATTTTGGCTATGTCTATATATGCTAGTATATCTGCATTGATCAACGCCAGGGCACATAGAAAACTATTGTGCCCCGTTCCTACCATACCGCTACATTGAGGTGGGTTACAGTGTGTAAAATGCAGGCATGCTGCATTTTTTTTTTGCAATGTGCCTCACCTCATGTTACCCCTAGTCACAGTTGAGTGATTGAAATGTCATTCTGTGACATTTCAATAAAGTTTTAAAAAAAAGTAAACAGTGCCTTGCATTGTGACAACCATCACTACGCAGTGGAGATCAGCCTGCGCCCCTTGTAGCGTGTGAGCTGGTTTGAACAAGCACAACGAAATCCCCCCTCCAGGTCTCTCAGCGGTGCCATTTCCGCATGCCTGCCAGAAGAGGAGTGGCATCATCGCGAGAGGACAGTAGGGGACTGGCTGGCGCAGGTTCATCTTAAGCTCTGCACCCAGAAACTGCAATGGACCTGAAGGGGGGATTTAGGTGAGTATAACTTGGTTCACAGGGTAAGGAAAAATAAAACCTCATAGAATTGTTGGAAAAACAACAGCATATCACTGACATTCCACTGTTCTGTCTTTTCAGCTGTAGATGGCGCTGTTGTGCAATGTTTGTCTCTATGCTTATGCATACTTATCTATGATATATACAGGAAGTTCTCTCTCTATGCTATGTAATTCTATATTCTGATATGTTTTTCTAAGCAAGTAAAACTTTATTCAGCATTCCTCAAGATCTCAGTGCTTCATCTAAACACATAACCAACAAGAATGAGGTAGAGGGGGTGGCAGGAGGGTCATATTTTGCCCGGAGGGAGGCTTTCAAAATTAATTTTTTTGCTGTCTGTATCCCCCACCAAAAAAAGAATTGCCAGGCCACAGACCTCAATAAAAAAAATGTCAGCGATTCTAGCCCTTCCAACCCCTATACAAGGGAAGGGCAAACTTTGGCCCTCCAGCTGTGGTGAAACTACAAGTCCCATGAGGCATTGCCAGACTCTGACAGGCATGACTTCCGCAGGCAAATGCATGATGGCATTTGTAGTTTCACCACAGCCGGAGGGTCGAAGTTTGCTCATCCCTGTCCTATACAACACTAAAAAACTGCAAACTTGTAAAATAAACTGCAGACTTTCTTCTTACTATAGGAAGCCCTCGCCAGTCATATTCTTCTGAGTACATTAGAAATGCACAGCCACATATTTCCTTTTGTTTACTTACCATGCTACCCCCCAAATCACATCCCACTGCTGGTAGTTCCCTTGTCTCTTACAGCAGTGTGGCTGGTGCAGAATGGAGTCTATATGGGAATTCAGCAAAAAATCCAGTTTATGTATCGCCCACTGAAGCACAGATGCTGTACATTTAGCACAAGCAGTTTATATAGTCCATCCTCTTTCCAAATCCCCTCTGTGGTTGTCATAAAGACAAGTGACCCCTTTTTTTCTAACTGACCATGCAAGTTACTTCACTGCGACTGAACAACAATCTGTTAAAGGACAGAAGAAGAAACACGCAGCTTTCTCACATCTCGAATACTAGCACTATGTAATGAAATATATAGTTTGAGTTGTGCATAAATTATGTTGTTGTTTCCTTTTCCTGCAGGGAGAAGAAATGGGTTACCGTTGGGGACACCTCACTGCGGATTTTTAAGTGGGTTCCTGTCATTGATGGAAGAGATGTACGTATATTAGATTTCTTCTTTCAGGGGGAAATTATCTTGAGGGGAAAAAAAATGGGAATAATGGTAGTTTATGTGCAGAAGCGTGTGTGTCCGGTCACAGAAAATAATGGGACAAGTAATGCATCTGTTTAGTGCTATTCAGCGATGATGTCTATATACCAGGGGTAGGCGACCTCGGCATGCCAGCTGTTGTGGAACTAGAATTCCCATGAGACATGGCAAGACTCTGACAGCCACTGACATGACTCCCAGAGGTAGAAGCATGATGGGATTTCTACCACACCTGGAGTGCTAAACATTGCTTACCACTGCTACATACTGGGTTGTATTGTCATTTACATGAGGATGGCTTTAAAGTGACAGTAAACGCAAGAGTTAAATCTTTAAAAATGCATTCAAGTACCTAACTATTAACACAAATGTATCTTATTTGTGTATCACTCGGCTGTAGATCCTCAAATCATCTCTGAATTCATGCTGACACTGTCCTTCTTCTGTAGGGTGGCTACTTTTGTTCCCCCATGGTCCCTGTGTGTGTTGTAAAGAAGTCACCGCACCAAGCTCACTCCTGTGATGGATGACAATGTCGCATTTCGTTTACTGATTTGTATTGAGATTGTAGTCCATCACAGGAGTGAGCTTGGAGCGGTGACTACTTTACAACACACACCGGGACAATGAGGAACAAAAGTAGCCACCCTCCAGAAGGAAGGACAGTGTTGGTACCAATTCAGAGATGATTTGAGGATCTACAGCTGAGTGATACACAAAAAAGTTACACTTTTGTTAGGTTCACAACAAGGGGATTGCAGTTTTTGCGTGATTTTGTGCGTTTTTGCTTTTACAAACGCTAATTTCTCCCTGCATGGGGATGTCTATGGGACCAAAACCATGCGGGATCTGCCTCAAAATAGCTCCTGTATTATTTCTGCAACGCTATGGTGTGAACAGTTGCCACTGACTTAAATGGAGTGTTTTGCACGTTTTTTTGCCTAATGGTTAATGTACTTGAATGCATCTTTAAGATTTAACTTACTTTAAAGTAAACCTGTCTTGATGAATGTAATGGACTGCCATTTCTGACCTCTCTCTAAAAATACTTGTTGCGGGACTGTTATGCTGGGCCTCTGGTTTCTGTATTCTCTGAGTACTGGAACAATTACGCAGAAATGTCAGAGGTCCTTATTTGCACTGTGTCAGTTGTTCTGAGCAAGAGGCTCAGCATGACTACCAGACAACTAGCTTATTCGTAGAGCGAGCACAGTAATGTTGTCCTCCATGCTTTTTCAAGATGGTTTTCCTTTAAAGAAGATCCATGAAATCCAAAAGAATCTGTGTGGCTACACATACGGCACATTCTGTACAAGGCAGTCACACACATTGAATGTAAACGTCCACAAACAAATATTCCTATGTGTCATGAAGTTCTCATTATACCTTTTTATATAGTTTGCCTTTTCATATTCACAAATCAATTTCAATATTTCTCTTCTGCAGAAAGAAAAAGTGAAAGGAAGCACACCTCTGAGCAGCTCATCCACCGCCAACTCCTCTCTCCTGCTGGAATTTCAGGGTAAGATTCATGTTCTCACACTCAAAAGCCACAAAGGGATGCATCCATCATGCCCATTTTGTGTATTCACAGCTGACTAGTCATAATGACTGTAGTAAAAACATGAGATGGCTAGCCTACTTGAGGACAGAGTTAGGGCTGCAACTAATGATTATTTTCATAATCGATTAGTTGGCTGATTAATTTTTTGATTAATTGGATTAAAAAAAAATTAAATACCATCCTTGATTTAAAATAAAATACACAAATGCAGTGTTACAAAGTTTTCGTTAGATTAAAACTACATGCACAATTTATTGCAATCGCACTGCACTGGAACGCACGGCGATCACACTGTGAGTGGTAGTTGCATTTGGGGTGCCATTAAAATGAATGGCACTCTAACGCACCTTCTGTAGCAGAATTTGTCCAGCCGAAATCAAAAATGACTTTGTTCCCACCTTTTTATAATTATTTTTTAATAATTGTATTGTAAGCACATGGCACTTGAATAGCTTCAGCCAGTGGCAAGATTCCGCAGATGGCAGCTGAATGTAAATACAGCAGGTAGTGGGCTGGTGCAATAGTCAACTTACTATTGGCCATTTCAAATTGCAATAGCCTATAGCAGACTGGCTATTGCACCTGCATACTACTTGCTGTGCCCTCCTCCCAGCGTGACGGAGAGAGCTAGGGGATCCAACCAACAAATCGATAATGAGAACAGTTGACAACTATTTGACAACTATTCTCATTATTGATTATTATCGATTAGTTGATTGCAGCCCTAGACAGGGTCTGATGCTATGGCAAGATTTGCCTATTGCTTATGTCTTGGCTCTAAAGTCAAAGTTGGCAACACAGTCAAACAAGATTTTGAGGGACACAAAAATACTTTCCTGGCCATTAAATGTAATAGCACCGTCCCTATGTCCTTCTTAGGCAGTATCTAAATAGTTAAGAGTTCACTGAGAGTAGATATTCATTGTAGTAAAGTGAATCAGGAATTGTAACATTTTAACAACTATATTCATACAGTGGCAAGAATAACTCTGTTTTATTGTTCTGTGGAAAGCCTAAATCTGCATTGGTAAGAGTGGCAAGGTTAAACATTAATTGGTATTCAGTAGTAAGATTAAACATGTATTGGAATACAGTGGAAATACTAATCTTTCCATTGGTGTTCAGTGACCAAAGTAAACCTGCACTGGTGTTTTGTGGCCAGAATAAACCTGCACTGGTGTTCAGTGACCAAAGTAAACCTGCACTGGTGTTTTGTGGCCAGAATAAACCTGCACTGGTGTTCAGTGACCAAAGTAAACCTGCACTGGTGTTTTGTGGCCAGAATAAACCTGCACTGGTGTTTTGTGGCCAAATTAAACCTGCACTGGTGTTTTGTGGCCAAATTAAAGCTGCACTGGTGTTCAGTGGTAAAAATTCTTCAAGCCCTTGGTATACCCAAACTCATCATAACTTTCTGAGAAACTAGAGCTGCTCTTTTCATCCCACACTACTCTTTCTTCATAATGCCATCAGGTACCAAACGCTACAAGTATTTTTAGGGCAGTAAGCAATTTGCTGCAGCAATAGCTGGCAGTGAAATAAAGGCACCATTGGGCAAATCTAAATTCCCCACAACGGTAGCTACTGGGGGAACACTGAAGGCACTGTTGGTCAGTTATGCATCCGCTCCAATAGTGAGACTCATTTTGCAGGAATTTTAGATTCTGATAGTTATTGATGTATTGGATAATCTTTGCAGTTTACTGAAAGATGAAAAAGGTCAGCCAGATCCCTATTTTCGTTCCCAGTGTCAGCATTTACTTCATTTTTGTTTAGGGTGACCACAGATATGTTAAAGCAAAAGTGAATATAGTGTTCATTCTATTCTGATTGGAAGGAGAAATCTGCAGTTGTTGTTTTTTTTCTCTAAGATATAAATATACTTCATTTTACAGAGTTACTAATAAAGTGTCATTTTTTTTTTTTTTTTACAGATGAGACCAGTAACCAAAGTTCCTTTTCTGATGTATACCAGCCAAAGGTAGAAAGCAGCAACTCCAGCCCAAGCCCCCCACATAGTGAGTCTCCCAGTCCAGTGCACACATCTGACTCTCAGCCCCCAACCCTGGGACAGGAGAGCTTGCATGGTAAGAATATGTGATCCTGAGATCTTGTGTGAAGAGGCAACGAGGGGCAACACCTGGATCACACTACTGTGCTGTCATGGCATCAGAGGGTTGGGCAGCTGTCAAACAAACATGCAATAATGAATCAATTGTACATGTTAAAAAAACTGATGCTGATTGGTATGTTTGATAACTGCAAAATCACATTTTGGATTGAATCTGTAGTTGGGATAAATATATGAACTATTTACAAGTTGGCGCCAAACTGCAGGCACCATAAGTTGCAAGAACATATCTTAACTCGCGCTTAGAATCTGCTTTCGGAGCTCATACAACCAGTCCCCACTTCATGTTATGAGGAGAATGGACATACCTATTCCTGTATTGCACAGGCCAGTGCTCAGTTCCTGACCAATCTATCACAGTGCTCAAGCCTTATGTGGTTGGCAGGTGGCAAAGCTATGCAAATTCTTTCAGACAGTCAGTTTTGCATATTAAGGGAAAACTATGGGGTCAGTGCTTTTCCCCATAGTTCTCCGAAGGGTCACGAACTAGCATCCTCCCATGACCCAATGCTCAGTATACCGCGAGCTGTACTGAGATCGCCGCAGCCAGGACGGATCCCGACATTACTGTCTGGATCCACCCAGCCGCGTGATTGACAGTTAGCTCTGCCTATCTAGAGGCAGAGCCGGCTGTACCCGCCTCCTCCCCCGTCCGTTCCTCCAGTCAGCGCTGGAGGATCGGAGGGGGTTTCCTGCAGGGAGCCGTGAATGACAGTCACGGCTCTCTGCAGGGACAGGATCGGGAAGTGAGCGACGATATGTGTTCGCTCACTTCCCCATCTATTGAGCCGACGTGTGACAGTTTCATTGTCACGCGTCGGCTCGAACTATGAGGCTGAGTGATTTTCACTCGCCTGATAGTTCTCCTTTTAACTTTGCTATAATCTGTCAGTGCTATAAGGTTTGCATAGGAATATTGCAAGTATAATCTGGCACATTATGGTGCTTGCAGTTTGTCGGTAACTTTATTTCCAATTTTTTACGTTGGATTAAATATTGTACCTTATCTAAAGGTTTACTTGACTGTATGTAATACGTGTTACATGTTGTTCACAGTGAAATATCATGTTTACATGTTTTTACAGTACAGTATATACGAACCATTTGTGCTCTACTGTGTACAGCAATTTGGCATCCTTTATTAATAAAGGTGGTTAGACCATAGAGCTGTTCCTGCATGCAGCACAAACACCCAACCAGAAGTTCTGATTGACTGTTACAACCAAAATGAAACATTGACATAAAGCTGTTAACATTCACAGTTATATAAGCTATTTCTTTATTACAGGTATTTATATAGTGCAGACTATTTACGCAGCGCTTTACATAGTTGCACGTTCACATCAGTCCCTAACCTCAAGGAGCTTACAATCTTAGGTCCCTATCCTGCATGCATGCATACATCAGAAGCCAATTCACCATATCTTTTGGAGTGGGGAGGGGACCGGAGTACCTGAAGGAAGCCGACACAAGCACAGGGAGAACATGCAGATAGTGTCCTGACCAGAATGTAGATATTTGATACTGATTTAAAGTGGCACTAACCTCAGGAGTTAAAACTTAAAATGCATTCAAGTACCTTAACTAATAACAGAAATGTATCTTATTTGTGCATCACTCGGCTGTAGATCCTGAAATCATCTCTGAATTGGTGCCGACACTGTCCTTCCTTATGGATGGTGGCTACTTTTGTTCCCCATGGTCCCTGTGTGTGTTGTAAAGAAGCCACCGCTCCAAACTCACTCCTGTGATTGATTACAATTTCAATACAAATTGTAAACTAAACGTGACATTGTAGTCCATCATAGGAGTGATCTTGGAACGGTGAGTACTTTACAACACACACAGGGACCCTGGGGAACAAAAGTAGCCCCCCTCCAGAAGGAAGGACAGTGTCGGCACCAATTCAGAGATGATTTGAGGATCTATAGTCGAGTACCGCTCCAAGCTCACTCCTGTGATGGATTACAATCTAACTTTTAGTTTACTCATTTGTATTGAGATTGTAGTATTGTGTATGGAGAGGACCCTGGATCCTAGGCCCAGGCTGTACACAGGGCCGTGATTTCTCCTACTCTAGAATAAGCCTAACCTTATGTTATTCAGCTTTCAAATACCAAAGTCTTTGCTGTTCACAGAGACTCTGGCATTTGAACGATGAATGATGCATTGTGCCCAGAGGAGCAGGGCTTGGCAGGAGAGGACACCGTAGGACGTTTTGAAGACCAGAGTAGGCACACCACAAGTTGTCTGCACGAACATGTTGGCATCACAGGTTTTAAAAGGATGCTCTGTTGACAAAAACTATAGTGACTCATGCAAACTCCAACACGGTATAGTCTCACTATTGCTAAATCACCAACTTTTAAATGACGCACACAACAATAAATACCCTCTCAACCTGCACCCAAAATAATGGATAAGTGAAAATACTGGCGCACAGATGAGGTTCCATTCACCTTAGTCCACATCATATATATCACAGGTTCCGGAACACAGCTCCAAGCTCCGATACTTTAATGATTATATCAGGCAAACAGTATACATCATAAAACTTCTAACGAGCTTCAGCCACTCATGGCCTTAGTCATAGCTCCTGAGTCAGAAATAAATAATGTCAGGAGCCCTTCAGATGCTTCTGTAAGAAGTGCGAGTGCTGTTATTGTAAGTACAGGGTTCAGAAACAAGAGAGCCCTTTTTAGTTTTGCATAGGAAATTCAAGTTTGGAAAGCAAAATCTTTTGCTGTAGGGGAAACGCTCTAGAAAACGTACATTAGACTTAACATGGTCTTCTGTGCAAATAAAAATGATATTAAAGGCTTCATTTGTCCTAGTAAAAAAAAAAAGATTTTAATAGGAAATGTAAATATCCACTTAAAGTAGACCTATGCTCACATGTTAATTTAAAGCAAACCATGGCAAATTGGCAAAAAGATAAAAACCGAAACTCATCTGGTATTGCAGACATGTCCAGCATCAACAGCAGTTCTGTTCTACTGTCTATCAATCTAAGATCCCTCAATAGCATTGTGCCGGTATGTACGGTAATAAAAAAAAGACCACTTTCCAGGCTGCTGACTCTGGCCCCTTACACCTCCCACTTCTGACTGCTGCCCCAATTGCTTTCATAGATGGCTTGACGATAAGAAGAGAGTGAGCCAGACCCAGCAATCAAAAAGCTGGTGCTGTTTTCAGGGGAAATGTTCCAGGCCATTCACTGATCTTGAGGCAATAGACAGAAGGTGCCTGCAACATAGGGTATTATTTGTTTACCTGGTCAGAAGTTCATTTTATAGCCTAAAGTAGGGGTAGGAAACACTGGCCCTCCAACTGTGCCTTAACTAAGAATCCCAACATGCTTCTGCCTCTGGGAGTCATGCCTGCAACTGTCAGTCTTGCAATGCCTCATGGGACTTGTAGTTCCACAACAGCTGGAGGGCCAGAGTTGCCCATCCCTGGCCCAATGCATGGCTTTTTATATGTTTTATAGTGAAGATAAGGGTTAGATAAATTGTTGCGGTTTCATCCTGTGTATCGGGAAGGGACAGTGTCAGGGAATGAATGGAATTTTCCCAACGGCGACAAATACGGCCATAAAAACCTGACATACAGTAGGTTTGAACACTTCACTTCTGTATACAATTTTTTTCTTAAATTCTCACATAGATAAAATGTTTGCTGACATGGATTAATAATTAGCAAAAAGCAGCAATAGAATGAGTTGCATACTTAAAGCCTATTTGTGGAACAAAAACATCCCCTTGCAGTGGGGCTACAAGGGGAGGGAGTGGGGCTACACCCTACACTGCAAGGGTTAACTGCTCATTAATGTTTAGGGTGCCTGTATGAAGGACTTACTTACCTGATCTCCACTCCAATGGCAGTCAGCATGCTCCTCGTCTCCCCTATGCTCCAGCTTGTGCACTGTCCCTCAGCATCCTTGTGTATAATGCAGGTCTGTGGACCCTGCACTGTATGTGATGATGTCAGCAGGCCTCCAACCACTGTTGTGTAGGAGGAAGAGGCTGCCTGTACCGGTCTTGGAGCCAGCGAGAGCAGGGATTAGGTAAGAAAAAAGTCCTTTACGTGACTACCCTAGACATTAATGAGCAGTTAACCTTTGAAGTGCGGGGTTAACCCCACTGCAAGCGGAGTTGTTTTTTTTCCCTCTTTTTTTTTTTTATCCTTTAACTTTGCTTGAGAAAATGCTGCTCCATGCTCTCTCCATTGATACTTGCATAGCCAAAATCATAGCATTTCATCATATGATTGTTGTTGAAGGCAAGGACTCGCCAATCTCACTTCCGATTTTCCTCTGCTGCAGAAATCACATGACCAGATGCCTAGGTTCTTGTTTATCTATGCGAGCAACATCATAGCTGCAGTTTGCATCCAGCATCTGTTACTCTTTATCCATCCTGCCAAGCTGCATATTAATATTTGAGTATAGGTACATGGTATCGGGGTATCAGAATGGTATTTCCACTGTGCTACAATCTTTCTCGTGCCTCGTTTCTGAAAGTAGATTCAAACTATTGCTTGCTGACAAGCAGTTGTCTGAGCTTCTGCTGGGACAGACATTTTACAATTTGTAAGAAGAATTCTGTAAAGCCTTTTATTGACTTCAATGCTTTGCATCTCATTTCAAAGATGGCATAGGGGACATGTAGTGGAATCTGTAGTGTGATGGAAATGTCAGTTGGTGAATATTATTAGAGGTAGAATCAGATTCCTTGTTTATAATTTTTTTCAGAGCCCTCTGTTGCTGCTTCTGAGGGAGCTGATGAACCACCAACTCTGACCAAGGAGGAGCCCGCTCTTTCTTCAGCTCAGGTACTCGTTGACATTGAGTGTTACATTACACAGTCCTCATTGAACCAAAAACATTGCAGTAAATGATAAATCTGATTTTTCAACTCGCCGTCCTGTGGATACATTTTAATACCAGTATCAGATAATTTCTTAATTTGTTCCAAATCTACTAAATTGTGGACATGACAGTCTTTGATAGCAGATGGATAGCCAGTTTTGTCCAATGCTGACCTCTCCTGAAAATATCAGTTGCCTGGCTCGTATCTTGAATGAACAGACTGTGATGTAAATCACAGCCTGTTCATTCATAACTGGGGACACATAGTACTATGTGTCCCCAGTTATTTACAAACACTGGAGTGATCAGACAATCGCTCCAGTGTTTGTCCTTCTCACACGGAGGATCGGTAAATATCACTGATATTTACCGATCCTCCGCTCAGCTATGCACAGAGCCGCTGCCATCCTGAAACTGACGGGATGACAGCAGCTCCGATCTCCTACCCGCTCTGCCATCCTGACAGCTGGGGGCGCGGCTTCTCTCCCCCTCACCGCTCCGCCATCCTGACAGCAGGCAGCGCTCCCTCCTGCGCCGGACGAGGGAGTGCTGTCATATCGGATGGCCAGCGGTGAGGGGGAGAGAAGCTGCCCCACTCGGCTGCACGGCGCCCTTGTTGCCATGGCGCCCTGTGCGGCCGCACTGCTCGCACACCCCTAAGGCCGGCCCTGGCCTGGCTGTCCTGTTGATCCAATGGCATTAATACATTCTGAGGCCCTGACCTGATTATAGTTATGCAGATGTGTATTTCTGATTTCACTCTGTTTCAATAATCTGCATATTTGCTCCAGGCCAGTGCTTCAGAAAGTATTGAAACCAGAGACTGGCAACTAGTATTCATAGTAAGTTAGCAAGAGCAACTTCCATAGTCCTCTTGATTACATTTCTTCTAAAACCGACACTTCCTGGAGTGTCGCTCTCCTGTGTTCTCAACAATGCCTAGTGGTACCTCATAACCAACTCCCTCTGCCCCTTCGGTGTCCTGTGGAGGCGCACGCCCTACGTAATCATAAAGTCAATGTCACACCAAGTGATTAGCCTAAATCAGGGGTCAGCAACCTTAAACACTCAAAGAGCCATTTGGATCCGTTTCCCACAGAAAAGAAAACACCGGGAGCCACAAAACCCTTTTGACATCTAAAATGAAGATAACACTGCGTATATAGTTTTTTACCTGTATGCTATGTATATAGATATATGTTGGCTTAGTAACGCACTGGACTCTGGACTTACCTGAGACCCCGCAGAGCCCACCTGGGAGTGACCCTGCAGAGCACACCATAGATCCTGCACAGCCCATCTGAGACTCTCTATGGTGGGCTCTGCAGGACCTCAGGTGGGCTCCACCCCTGGACATCGAGCCGCAGCAGAGGGATGAAAGAGCCACATGCGGCTCCAGAGCTGCCGTTTGCTGACCCCTGACTTAAATATAATGGTACAGATTTAGTTGCATTCTTCAAATTGCATGTTTTAATAGTAAGGATGTGGTTACAATGTATCTAATATTGCTGAATGATACATTTTCTTTTCCTATTAGACCGAAGATCTGGATGAGTCTGGAGCACCACCATTGAAGAGAGCTTGCCCAGATGTGCCTTCCCATCCAACGTCGGCTTTAAAAAGCTAGTGCCAATTTCAGCATACACAAGGCGGAACGAAAACCTCCTATCACTTATTCGTGAGGACGGTGCCATCTTAGCCTCTACTTAGATCCGCAGTTGCCATGGTGCTACACGTGATCAGCTAATAAACCTGCCATTTAAGGGCTTGAAAGTTCAGCTGAGAGCTGACTCCTGCACACAGATGGCTGAACCTGTACAACATTAATTCATGCATTTTTCTGCGTTTGGAGTTGTACTCGTGGTTTAAGAAAGTCTGGCTTACACCAGTGTACAGCTGCGTGCAGCCATCGATTTCTATGGGAGGCTGTGCACATGCATAGTACCTGTGGCTCCCTTGTAGGGAAAGTATTTATGTTGAATAGTTCAGCCACCCATGTGCATGCGACCATAAGCACACTGGCAACTGTGACAGTCATCACCAGAGGCATGCCTTGAATTTAACTGTTTTAGGAAACAGTTAAATGGAAGGGTTTATTTCCGCTTTAATCGTCTTGCTGTAACGGTCTTTGAAAGCCTTAGCTGACAATGTTTGCACTTAAAGGGAACATGTCAGGATGGCTGTTACCTGGCACAAGCAAGGCCCCACTCCTGTATGGGATCCTGGGCTGTGAAGGTGATCCGCTGTCCTGATGTTGTGCAATTACTAAACCTAACGGAGGGAATTGTAACCTACCTGATTGAAGTGCAGTCCACATTTCAAAGTGTGACAGTAAACTTTTGCTACATTGTCAAATTTTTACAGGCACTTTAAAAAAACAAACAAATGAGTCATCGGTCGTGTGAAATCTGCAGACGCCACGTATGCTGTTTTTCCATGCAAGGTCCTAGTCTAGTTTCATTGCCCTCCTTTTATGAAGATTTATGCAAACAGTTGGTAGCTGGAATTCAGCGATTGTGATATTGCCTGTCCTTCCCCGTTTGTCAGGCCTTATTGACACCTGGCCAGGAATATATTGTGTGTGAAATTCAGAGAACTGACACAATTGCACTTTGTCAGACACCTTCCAGAAGATAATGAGACTGAACTATTAGAACTCGAGCGAAAGTACATTGTTTACCCATAGCAAGCAGTTATTTGATTGGTTACTATGGGCAACAACTCCACGTCGGCTCCTTTTTTCTTTGCTCAGCTGGCAGTGTCTCATGCCTACCACTGAAAATAGGAACAGTTTATTCCACGCATTATCAAACTATTTAATTCCTTAAATCTACAGAGATCCTATATATTGTGTTAAGCTTGTTTCATATAGTATTACCTGTTCTATAACATTTAGAAGTTTATGGATGTGTTTCAGCACAAAAAAAAAAAGATATTTTTAATAAATTAAGCTATTTGAAATGGGTTTCCTTGTGTGTTTCTTGTGTTCTATTCCTACATTCTATGCACAGATAAATGGAACGCAAGGTCAACTATGCGAAGACATTTCCTGGTAGAAAATAGGAGTCTGCCATTGTGAGCTTCTCGTTCTGCAAATGCCAGTTCAGTTGCCTGGCTAACATTCTAGTCCTCTTGCTTCAATGCTTTCAGTCACTAAGAACACATATGAAGAAAAGGACCTCTTTCCTTATGTGCAAGCTTGTTCCAGGTCAGTAGAACAGCCAGGCAACCAGCAGTTTTATAAGGAGGACAGCTCTCATGTTCAGGAACATTTACTTTAAAGCCCAACTCCAGATGCAAGAAAAAAACTACCCTTGAAGAGGGCCATCAATTTGCCTGCCCTGGCCATGCCCGGCACTACAAGGGTTAATGCTTGTTAAGTTTAATGGTAGAGAGATAAAGGGCTATACCAGGGGTAGGCAAACTTGGCTCTCCAGCTGTGCTGAAACTAGAAGTCCCATCATGCTTCTGCCTCTGGGAGTCATGCCTGTGGCTTGCAATGCCTTATGGGATTTGTAGTTTCAGCACAGCTGGAGAGCTATGGTTGCCTACCCCCTGGGTTATACCTACCTTTGTCTTCTCTCTGGCAGGCCTCCTTCATCTATGCGACCACTCCAGCAAAGCCTCCTCTCTAAGGCGTGCCTGGCCTCTTATGTGAATGAAGAACCCCACTTTCTTTGTGTTCCTGCACGGGCCCCGCCATTAAGAAGAATCTGACCAAATGTGTTCTACCCCCACACTGCAAGGGTTAAATGCTCGTTTTTGTCTAGATGCTTAATGATTGAAAAAAAAAAAAAGTTATACTTACCCGAACCGCGGAGCTGGCTGGCTCGCTGCTCCTCTGGTCCCTGAAGCCTGTCTCCTCTTCCACTCCAGTGATGTTATGTCCCACTGTGTCCTCACGTCCTATACACTGTGTATAGAATGTGATGACTCAAGGATCCATAGACCACTGAATGAAGTGTGGGAGAAGCCCCAGGGACTGGTCCAGGAGCAAGCCGGCTCCAAAGATCAGGTGAGTGTAACTTTTTGTATTTTTAGCACCTAGACAAAAGTGGGGTTCCTAATTCACATCAGAGAATGCACCCCCCTCCAATGTGGTATTGGAGGGGCCAATGACCATGTGGGAGCTCTGATACTTTATAAAGCAGTGACTTTCAATGTAATACTCTCTCTTATTTAACAAAATACACTTGGAAAATTCACCTGCAGAGAATGTTAGGGATTCCACCAGCATTTTGCAGTGGAGGGGGTGATAAGTGTAGGAGCAGGCACTCTGTTACTTCCAAAGACAAAAGTCTGAAAGTTGCCTCCTGTAATTTATTTGAAGAATGTCACCAGCACACCGATTTTTACAGCAAATGGATAATCATTTATTGACGTATGCTGTCTCTCATTTTGCTTCGGGGAGTGTCGCCTGGTCCGCCGATGCTCTCAGTGGTTCCCCCTGCCGCCCCGGGGGGCCTGTATTGGCCAGCAGATGAAACCAAGGGGGAATGTATGCATCCGACACTGACAGATTAATATGTATTTCTTTATTACATTTCCATAAGTTCTATCCCACTCCTAATAACCATATCCACCGAGAAACATACTTATTGAAGATGTCCACAGGATGTACTTCCTCAATGTACTGACACAATTTCACTCAGCACTGTGAATACGCACTTCCTTGTGTCACAACTCTCACAGATTAAAAAGTTGGGTATTCTGCGCTATAGAATAAACTAACAGGGTTGGCCCCAAGCTGCTAAAACTAAGGCTGGATAAGCCTCACAAATGTAGTTGGAATAATAGTAAGCGCTCTGGGTCTCCTGTTGTATGGTAAAAGGTCAAAGGGTAGAATAAACTATATGATTCTATAAAGGTGCATAAGTGTATAAATTAATATAAATAGAATAAAATAACCATCATCTCAACAAGGTGACAATGAATCCATGTGAAGTGATATATAAATAAACGTGTGTATGAATATCAAACGTGAATCAAATATCTGTACACAATAGGTGTTAAAATTGAATATAAACTGAATAAATATGTTATAATACTGAGCAGTGTGTTCGTGATCTTTTTGAACTATACAAACATGGCTAAAATAGGCAGTCAAATATAAGTGCTATATGATGTGAGGTATATGGAGCATAAAACAAGTGAACAATTATCCTTAAAAAGGGTAAAAATCGTCCAAAGATGTTAAATCCTAGAGAGACAAAGTCTGAACCGCAGGAGGCTTGAATGAATAAATCTCAGATAACCGTATCCAGGAGGGTGATATGTCGGGGAAGAGCTGGATCCCCGTAGGGATTGTACTCACCAGATGCCGGAGAAAAATCAGCTGTCTCTATCACCGTAGTAGCGGAAAGGGAGAAGACTTCCTTCCGTCCTTTCGTAAGATCAATCCTGGTCTCAGAAGAGGTGCTGTAATTTCGGTAGTGGCGAGGTCCCTTGTGTTGCTTCCGGGAATGTATCTTGGTTCTTGGTGTCTCCGAATATAGGTGTATTTTTGATCTTACGAAAGGACGGAAGGAAGTCTTCTCCCTTTCCGCTACTACGGTGATAGAGACAGCTGATCACCAGCTGATTAAAGTTACACCATAAAAAAGAATAAAAAAATGTTTAAGTCCCCACCCATACATACACGCATGCAAACATGCGTCGGGGGCGCATACGTGCAAAAAAGACGATTGCGCCCATTACGCCGCACATGTTACATATCGCCGCGAACGTCGGAGTGAGAGCAATAATTGTAGGGCCATCAATCACTGATAACACTAAACTGATGAGCGGTAAAAGCTTTTAAAGCGTCGCCCATGGCCAATTTTGGGTACGGTAATTTTCTGCGATTTCGCGGGTGAACGCAATTTTAAAGCTTGACATGTTTGGTGTCTATTTACCCGACGTGACCCGATCTTTTATATTTTACCAAAAAACTGGGTAATAATAAATGTTTCCTAACATAATGTTAAAAAAAACTTTTTTTTCCCCAAATTTTCTGTAATTTTTCCTAATTATAGTAAAAAATAAAAACCCCAGTTGTGATTAAATACCACCGAAATAAAGCTCTATCTGTCCCCAAAAAATGGTATAAAATTCATTTCAGTACAGCGCTGCATGACGGAATAAACGTCAGTCAAAGTACCGCAGCGCTGAATACTGAAAAATGGCTTGGCCAGGAAGGGGGTCTAAACACCTGGTCTTGAAGTGGTTAATGGCTCATGCACATGGGTGTCCGGCCTAGGGTTGCCACCTGTCTGAGATTCAACCGAACAGTTTAGGTTTTGATTCTTGTGTCCAGTTTCAGGCCACCTAAAACCCGGACAGATCGGAACAGGAAGGAGGTTCTGTGTGGCGGGCTGCGGAGGAGAAGCAGCTTGTGAGGCTGAGAGAGAGCGATGTATGTCCAGTATGAGAAGGCTGAAGGTGCTGTGAGGACTGGAGGTGGAGCTGGGAGAGAGTGGCTGTCTTGGTGTGTGTGAAGAGTGAGTAGAACGGGGTGGCCAGCTTCTTCGTGGCTCTAGCCCACTCTCCCACCCCTCTCCAGTGTAGGGTTGCCACCTTTACTTCCAGCTAAACCCGAACACTCTAGCAATGCAAGGATTTTTTTGGGGAGAATGAGTCGCTGCTTATTCATATATAAATAGCGTCACCCATTCATGTATGAATATCACAGTCAGGACTATTTTCAGTGGGGGGCCAGCCCGGCCAGTAGCCCCTATCTTAATGTTGGTTGCCCCTGTCTGCCTGACATCATGCGTCTGGGTTTCAGCTACCATGAAACCAGGACACAACATTCAAAACCCGGACAGTCGAGGTGAATCCTGGACAGGTGGCAACCCTACTCCAGTGCGTGGTTGTGTGACGTGCCAGCTTCCTAGTCAGGAGTAAGTGCTCCGTGATGTCACATCCATTTCACTGCACGCTGGCTCTGGCCTCCAGAACAAAGAAGCGGGCTGGCTAGAGCGCTCATCGTTGTCACAGAGACACCAGCCAGGCAACTTATTTACTTCTCCCACAATAGACATCCGTGGGAAAAACGCTGGAGGCTTAGTGGCCATTTTGTTGGTTGGCGTTCTCATTGGGTTGCAAGCTCCTCTGGTGCAGACTGATGTGACTGGCTCAGTGCTCTCTGTACAACACTGCAGTATATGTCTCCAAGAAAAAAGATTAGCCGTGTGGCTAGTGTTTGGGTTGGCATTAAGAAAAGGTGGCAACCCTAGTCTGGCCTAGGGCCATACAACATAAAATTCCGGTGTATTCCCTCACTGCGCCACTTATAGAAATCAATTCTACATATAGCTGTGTTCAGCCATTTTTTTTTG